GGATGGGGCCGTCTGGTGGCAGCATCCAGCAGGTGGAGGTAGATCTTCTGGTGTGCTCTGCCCATGCTGGACATCCTTAGGAAAGGGTCTTCCAGTGGCAGTGCCTGGCAGGTAAAGGCGGATCTGTCTGGCTCTGTTTGCCTACACTGGGCACCTGTAGGAAAGAGCCTTCTGGTGGCGGCGTCCAGTAGGCGATGGTGGGTCTGCTGGCTTTCTCTGCCCTGTTCCCAGTTTTAGAAGCAGAGTTCTCACTTTTCATTAAGCCTCCCTGTTGCCCCAACAGGATGGTAGATGATGTGGTGGAAGGAACATGCATCTAAAAGTGTAGGAAACCAAGGCAGAGCATCCATTGTTGCTCTAGCATGATCTTGAGTAGAATTCCTGGCACACAATAGATATCTAAACAACATTGCTTTCTTTTTCTTTTCTCTTATTCCTGCTTAATACATAGCAAGGATCTCACCGTTAGCCTCAGACCAGAGAAATGCTTGGTGTAACTTTTTCTCCACCACTGCACTGAGTAGCAGTAAAATACCATATAGTAATATGTTGGTGAACTTGATCAAGTGACTGATGTCCTGTATGGACTAGGAACTGTCCTCAGCTGAACCTCCAAGACTGTTATTAGAATTAAAGAAGGAATGTATATATCTGCTTGCACTTTGCTTGTTTTCTGCATTCTGGGGAATCTCTTTCTATCACCTTTTTATCTCCTAGGACATTGTACACATACGTATGGATTAGATTGTTTTGCATGTATTTTGCTTTTTTTTTTTTTTTTAAATCGGTATCAGGAATCGAACTTACGACTGCACAGCTGTGTGCTTGCAAGGCAGGCACTTATGCTGCTGAGTTATGCTGCCCAGCCCCTCTTTGTCTGTATTTTGGAGAGTGAGTTAGCTAGTTGAAGAAATGTCTTGGAGCCAGAATTCTTGATGGCTCTGTAGTATAGGTTCCCAACAACAATAGTAATGATGTTTGACATGTACAGAGTGCTTGGTATACTAAACTCTGTTTTAAATGTGCCATGTACATTTATTCCCTTCGTGGTCCTAGGAGGTAGAGCACTGTCTTACTTTCTCATTGGTGAGACAAAAATACCTGACACTCACAAGTTAAAGGAGGAAAGGTTTATTTTGGTAAACAGTTTGTAGAGTTTCAGTCTATAGTCAGTTGACTCACAGGCAGGACAGTAGGGCAGAGCAGAAATAGTCCATGGCAGGGCAGGCGGGGAGCAGTGAGCCTTCTTTCTTTCCCTTTTTATTCCATCCAAAATACAAGACTATTTTTTGTCATCCATACCCAGCGTGGGTCTTCTTGACTTCTTCCCTAAGTCCATTATCCACATTCAGAAATACATAAACTAATTAGTGGACTAATTCAATATCATACAGCTATGATCCAGTATCACATACCCATGATCCAGCCACATCTCCAGTGCCCCACTTCTGAGCACATGAGGCTTTGGGGGCACATGTAGGTATAAAACATAAGTCATTGATGAGGAGCCTGAGGTAGTGAGGTGAGGCAGCTTATCCATGATTATATGGCTGATGAAAGAGGATTCAAACTTAGCAGAACTCTGCTTATGCTCTTTCTTTTCAGGGTGTTACTGGCGCTTGAGTGGAAACTCCAGATAAAAGGCCAGAGGTTTGTGTAAAAATTAATGGACAGCCTTAAGGAATCTAAACATTAAACAGGACTCTAAATATTGCAGAGAAGGAGAGACAGCAGAGCTGTGTCTGAATCAGGTGATTTCTCAGGATTGGAGGATGAGTGAATTTTTTCAGATGGATTTGTGGTCCTGAAGGCATTCCGTTTTGCATTTTGCTTTAGATAGGGCTCTAAAAAGAAATGAGGAAGAAGCCTGTTCTAGCTAGTGGCTAGTGTTTACTGGCAAGTGTTAGCTGGAGCTGGCTCAGGAGACGGGAGGAAACAGGAAGGCTGGGGTATGGTCAGTTGAGTATGAATGAAAAATGGCTCCTGAACTTGCAGTAGATTGTAGCTGCAGGTTTGTAACAGGTGTCCAGGGTGACCAGAATTTAGTAGATGTCAGAACCACAAGCAGTGGACTTAGAATTGGATCCCTTATTGACTGCTTTCCATCAACAAAAGTCTTTTCCTCTTGGAGCCTCAGTTCTTTCTGTTGAATGGTGGTGGGTCCTTTTTTTTTTTTTTCTTCTTTTTTTTGTGGTATTAGAGATTGAATTCAGGACCTGGTGCATACTAGGCAATGACCTATCACTGAGCCATGGTTCCCCAGCCCTTTTAAAATCTCATTTCAAGACAGGGTCTAAGTTTCCCAGGCCAGCCTTTGACTTGTGATCCTCTTGCCTTAGCCTTTTTAGTAGCTTGAATTATAAGCAGGCACCACCACACCTGACATCCCTTTTCCATCTTTGTAAAGGATTAAGTCAGTCAGTTGGGGCTCAGTTGGTGGGATCAGCTCCCTGCTCTTCTTGAGTGGCTGCAGTGCTTGAAGCTGGAAGATTTGTTTGAATCCGGGTAGAAGGGTGCCGCATTCTCTGCCTTGTCACTGGGAGAAGGTGTTGGTTTCTCTGACACATCCCATGTTTGCAGCTAGGATGATCTCAGGAGAGCATGATCTCATTCAGATTCCAGTGCCCAGAGAAGGGAAGTGATTGTCCTTGTCAGATAGCCAGCAAATGGCTCAGCCAGGATGAGAACTCCTGCCTTGTGACTTCTGGCTCAGTGCTTCTCCTTTTGCTCACAGTCAGGCCCCTCTCTGGGCACCTCCTGCTGTTAAACAGAAGCCTCAAGACGACCTGTGCACCCTGGAGCCTACAAGATCCCCTTCTCAAGAGCTCTGTTTAGGGCTGAGATGGTCAGGTTACCCTTCTGAGGTCTTATTTGTTGCCCTTGAAACTGCTTGCTTTAAAGGGAAAGATCACAGCCAGCAAGTTTGAGCCTCTGGGTTGGGCTCTGAATAGTCTTTTCCCACATTATGAGAAGATGCTTTGCAGGGTGAAGCAGAAGAGGCTAGAACAAAGAGTAACTCAAAATACCACACATAGGTAGGGTCATTGTGCACATCAGGAAGGATAGGTATAGCTCAGAAACCAGCAAGTCAGCATCACTGGGAGCCTGTTAGGAATGCAGAATCACAGGTCCCACCTACTATCTTTTGAATCAGAACTGCCTTTTACAGGATCCCTAGGAGATCTAAGTGCACACTGAAGTTTGAGAAGTACAATGAAAAAATCATTAGTGGTGAAATATTGGAGGTTATTTTCCTTGTATATTTTTCCTCATTTGTTTTTATTTTTTCACATAAGTTTTATGTTAAGGAAAAAAATAACAAAGGCATTTCTTGGGGCAGAACTCAAGTTTTCAATTCTCATTGCCCAAGGGGAAGTAAAATTGTTAAGTGTAGTTCTTGGAAAAAAGAATAAAGCAAACTTGTCTTCTCTACTCTGTGTTAGACAGATAAGAGCAGAAATTAAACCTAAGCAAAGAGCAGGTATTAAAGGAGGTGTTAAAGAGCCTTGGACAGGTGAGATTTGTACTCATTCTGAATGATGCCTCTTATCTGGAAGGTGCCTCTTATCTAGATGGCCTCTTATCTGGAAGGAATGGTATATAGTCTTTCTTTTGTCAAAACCTAACAGTCCAATCAGTGGACTGATCTAGCTATTACCCAACCTTATTCCTTACACCCTTAATTCCAGCATTGCACCACAAATCAGTCACACACTTTAGATTCAGCCTCTTCTGGAAAAAACCTTATGATTGCATGAGGCTTTGGGGGGGACATCTAGATACAAACCATAACACCAGTGTATAGTGGTTTCTTATTTGCTGAAAGTTAGGCTGTTCGTCGTATTGGCACAGCAACTCAGTGATAACAGGACTGGTGTCCTTGTGATTCTTATGGCCTTTCCTTCATGGCTTCATGGCAAGATGCTCCTCTGGCTCCCTTCAACATGTTTATGATTAAGGACTGAGGGTGGAAGGAGGAATGATACCTTTTTCATATCTTACCCCTTTATCAAAAGGCCTAATTTGATGCATGCCTATAGTCTCAGCTGTTTGTGCTGAGGCAGAGTTGTAAATTGGATTGCCAGCCTGGGGAATTTAGTGAAACTCTGTCTCAAAATAAAAGATAAGGAGTTGGGCGTATTGTCACACCTGTAATCATGCATTTTGGAGGCAATTTAGTGATTGAGACTCTGTCATCGGGTGTGGTTTTATACACCTGTAATCCCAGCATTTGGGAGGCTGAGTTTGAGGCAGCTTGGCTTACATAGTGAGTGACTGTAAGGCTAACCTGAACTACAAAGCAAGACCGACACGGTCTCAGAAAGGAGGTGGAGGAGAAGCCCTTGTCTCAGGATAAAAAACAAAAAATAGGGCAGGGAATGTAGTTCACTGCAAAAATCCTAGGCTCAATCTCAGTATTTATAAAACAAAACAAATTAAAACAGCCTTAGCTACTGAGAAAAAGGGTAATTAGGCTTCTTAGGCTTGTATTGCAGAGGTTGGCATGAGAAAAGGATGTTGGAGTAATAGTAAGAATAATCAACCAGCAGTACTTGCCATTTGAGGAAACGTATTTTTGGTTAGACTGCTGATTGTCATTTGGGGGCAGTTCCCTCCTTGTCCCTCAGGACATGTTTTGCAATATTTTCTTGTCATAAATCTAAGAGTATATGTATGCTAATGGTATTTACAGGGTAGAGACCAGGAATGCTGCTTAATATATCCTTACAATGTCCTTAGTGCTACAGTTGAGAAACCCTTAAGAGCACAATGGGCATGGTTACTCAAATTTGGGGAAAATTAATTTAGTTGTTTTTCTGTGATATGCTAAAAGACAGATGGTCAAACTTCATTGTAATGATCTAGATTATTGGTACTGGTCTTGCTACTGATTGTTAAAGATATACAAAAGACTAATCGTAGTTTTGGATAGCCAAATGTAAGAGTCTTAATAGAAGTTTAATGTCTAACAGAACTAATTAAGCTTTGTTGCATTTTAGGATCACAGTACAATGACAAAAGACAATTTCTTCTGGAGCGACTGTTGGATGCAGTAAAACAGGTAAGAAGAGTATGCACTTGACTTTGGGATTGAGTGAGAGTGTCACATAATCAATGCAACAGTTATTTTTTCCCCTTTTGTGCATATAGATTAACTTTCTGTACTGGGAATTGTGAAGCAGAGAGTTTCCCCTAGGAAATGGTAGAACAGGAAAGGCAGAGAGAGTAGAGGTAGAGGAGGTACTCTGTCTTGAATTTTAAGGTCTTTAAGGTGACCCTTCAGTGATGCTCCGCCGAGGCGGCATCAGTGTCAGAATCTGATTTCCTGGCAGTCATGTTTTAGGGCCACTCCTTTAAGGGTGCAGAGATGGTAGTTTGGAGTTAGTACTCTGTGAGCACAAGAGCAGGCAAGATGGCAAGAGGTCATCGTCAGTATCCTCTGCTGCCACTGCCTCTGTGACTGCTTGACGCAGCTTCTCATAGCCAGCCTCTGAACAGATAAGGAGTTGGGCTTGGTTTGAGACTGGCATCTGCTTTACATTTAAATCTTGTTTTTTGAATCAAGATTTTACTCTGTATTATAGGCTGACTTTGAACTCAGTGCTTTAGCTTCCTGAGTTCTGTGATTACAGGTGTGCGCCATCATGCCTGATTTACATATAACTTTTCCTGCAATTCTTTTTTCTTGTCTTTCTTTTCTTTCTTTCTTTCTTTCTTTCTCTCTCTCTCTCTTTCTCTCTCTCTTGCTTTCTTTCTTTCTTTCTTTCTTTCTTTCTTTCTTTCTTTCTTTCTTTGGTTTTTGTCTTTGTCTTTGTCTTTGTCTTTGTGTTCTTGAAACTATGCAGTTCAGGTTGCCCTCTGCCCACTCCTCTTTTTTTGTACTGGGAATTGAACTCAGGACCTTACGCTTGCCAGGCATGTGCTGTGCCACTGAGCTGTATCCTTGATTCCAGGCTCCCCTTGAAGAGCTCACCACATAGCCTGGCCTGGCCTCAAACTCATTATGTTCCTCTTGCCTCATAGTTTCTGAATTATAAGCATGTACCACACTGCCCAGCATCCTACAATTCTTTTTATGTTACAGATGAGAAACTGAAGCTTAGAGAGATTCAGTAAGTCGCTCAAAGTGTCATAATTTAGTGTGTTAATTTTCCATCACTGTGACAAAATACTTCAGAGAATCAACTTGAAGGAAAGTTTATTTTGGCTCATGATTTCAGTCTATAGTTAGCTGGTTATATTGCTTTTAGGCCTTAGTGAGGCAGAAACATGACTGCAGAGTGTGATGGAGGAAAGCTGTTCCTCTCATGGTGGCCAGGCAGCAGAGAGAGAGAGAGAGGAAAAGGCTGTGAACAAGGTGTACCCTTCTAGGATATGGTCCTCCAGTGCCCTGCTTCTTCTAAGCAGGCCCCACCTTCACAATTTCCACAATCTCCTAACAGTCTGTTTAACCGTGAATCCATCCATGGATTAATCAGTTGATAAATCAGAGCCCTTAAGAACCATTCACTTCCCAGAAGCCCTACCTTTGAACATTGCTCTATTGTGGATCAGTTCTTCACATCGACTGTTGGGGAACATTCTATGTGCAAACCATAATGGCAAGTGATAGAGCTGGGATCCAAACCAGGAGTTCAAAATGTTTACTATATAGAAAGGGTGATTAATAATTATATGTATATAATCACAGTATAGGAAGGTAAATACTTAAACTCCCCACCTACTAGATGACCAGTATTAGTTTGTGTTCTCTAAAATTGAAGAATGAATTTTAGGAACAATAGAGGTTAAGAGAAGAATATTTTTATTGAGAGAAAGAAAGCTGATGTCGGAGAGAGATATAAAAGGGATCCTGAGTGGGTTGCCAAAGACTCTGTCTTTTCTGGGGACTTTTATAGAGCAAAACCACAAAGTGAGGGCTGGGGATAGAACTCAGTGATACAGCCTGCCTGGAAAATGTGAGGTTGTGAATTTGATCCCTTGTACCACCAAATCAAAACAAACAAGCACAAAATGAGGCAGGTCCAACGTGGGGAAAACAGAAAATACAAGGTGGGCATAAGGTGGGACTGACTATGGTCAACCAATAAGATTATAATTGTTAAGCTAAAATTGATTAAATTGGGGACAAATTAGGAAGCAAGTCACATAGCAAGTGGGCATGAATACAGAACAGGGCCTTTACCTGTAGGGGGTTGGGTTAGTGGCTCTTTCTGGCTTCCTCAGGGTGATAGAAACCTGTTTAGAATACCAATCCCTGATGTTTAGCCTTAGGATCCTCTGTATTTGTTTGATCTTTTGTTATGAGGTCTGGCCCACAGCAGGAGGTATCTGTCTCCCTAACAGTTGCACTGGTTCCTTCAAGGACCTACCCCTGTTTGACTGCTTATAATATTTCTATCTAACACAGTTGCCTCTAACAATAGAACTATGAGTTAGTTGTTGAAATGAGCCCAGAGAATTTAGCATCTGCCCAACCCTTGTGATAGCTTGATATGATGGAAGAACAGAGACTTGGGGCTTTACTGTAATTGGGGTTGAGCGTCAGGTTTTTTTTTTTTTTTTTTTTTTTGGTCTTTTTCATTTTTATCGGTACTGGGGATCGAACTCACAACCGCCTGCTTGCAAGGCAGGTGCTTATGCCGCTGAGCTAAATCCCCAGCCCCAAGCGTCAGGTTTTTTTCCTGGGTACTAGAAATTGAACTCAGGACCTTACAGTTACCAGGCAGGTGCTTAGAGTGTCATTTTATCACCTCATAGCTGTTTGTGCTGGAGTGACTCTTCTAGACTCCTTGAGCATCCTCTTCTGGGAACCAGGTCACTTATCTCCAAGAGGCTGCTGAGAAAATTACACATGTGAAAGTTAGGTGAAAAGGCCAGCCAGCGCCTAGTCTATAGTAAGTTTCAAGCCCATGTTGTTGGTTTCTTCTTTCTTTGATTCAGAAATGGAAAATGTAGCAACAAGGTGAGACAAGTTTAACCACTTTAAATACAGCAGTTAAATAGAAATAAACTAGGACTTCTGTTCAGAGCTTATGCTTGAAGACGCTAATATTATTTTGGGGAGTTAAAATATTGTATGTCTATATGTGTATATATAAATATTTAAAAAGCAACTTTATTAATGTGTAATTTATATATAATGAAATATACTATTGGGTGTGGAGGCACATGCACTCTGAAGGCTGAGGCAGGAGGCTTGCCATGAATTTAAGGCCAGCCTAGGCTACATAGTGAGTTCAAAGCCAGCCTGAACTATGTAGTAAGATTGTGTCTCAAAAAACAAAACAGCAACAACAACAAAAAAATGAACTTTGTAAAGTTTCATGAGTTTTGATAAATGCATCATTTAAAATTACATATATATATTTTTGATCATAAGTTTAGGCATTTTGTGAAGTGCTATCCATAGCATGGTTTCTGTACCTTTGAAAGAAAGTATGGATAGTGGCGATGATTGTGTAACAATGGGAATTGAGTTTTACAGCCAAAAATAATTAAAATGGTAAGTTTTATGTGACCTCTGTTTTTACCACAGCAAAAAAGAAAGTGAAAGGTTTTCTTTTGCTTTTACCTACCCTGGATATTTGTGATTCAGCATAATTGGATAACTTCTTTGAAGCTTGATTCTTTTTTTTTTTTATCTTTTTCCTTTTTAGGGGTAGCGAGGATTGAAGCTTCCAAGGCAGGTGCTTATGCCGCTGAGCTAAACCTCCAGGCCCCTGAAGCTTAATTCTTGCTGTTGCTGTTTTCTAACCAGTCATAATAACTTTGGGGTTCTGTTACAAAGGAGCCATCACAGATTTGTGAATACCTTAGTAATGTCTGTTAAGAGCTCTGTGGTGTAGTCAGCTGCTGACAAATAGGAGCAGTTTCCCAGATAATTTGCAGATGGCTGTGCTTTGTTTTCCTCTTAACACTGTTTTCCCACAGGCTTACTTCTGTACAAGAGGAAGATAAGAGCTTCCTTTAAAGTGGTAATTTAAAGGTTGAGCTGTTCCCCTTAATTAAAACTCTTGTGTTCACACACAGGGCACAGAGTGCCCTGACTTTGTGGCTGGAGTTTCTGGCCCTGTGTCCTACTCCTGACCCAGAAGACCTGTGTGGCTGTTTTGTAATGCTTTAGAGTCCCAACTCAACTCAACTGATCTCAGCAGTTTCTTTTTCTGTGCAGTGCCAGATCCGCTTTGGAGGGAGAAAAGAGATCGCCTCAGATTCTGACAGCAGGTGAGTATGTCTGTTCGTCACCACTCTCTGTGCAGAACAAACAGTGCTGAGCGATGGTGAGCTTCTGTATTCTGCCTCTGCAGCCTGGAGGTGCAGGGACAGAATTTGGGTCAACTGTGGGCCATCTGTGCAGTGACTACTTATCTGAAATCTTTCTAGCTGACTGTACTTCTAGGAATGTATTCTGAGGGAACTCATTGAACCATTTTGTAAAGAATTATTTTTGAGATTATTGAGGTTTTTGTTTTCCCCCTAAGGTAGTGTCTGTGTATTTCAGGCTGACCTTTTACTTACTATGTAGCCCTGGTTGCCCTTGAACTCAAGGTGATCCTGTTACCTCAGCCTCCCAAATGCTAGGGTCCAGGCATGTATCACTATGCCTAACTCGGTTGAGATTTTTGAAAATTCAGAAACTTAAATACAGAATGCTTGGGAAATGATTGATCTAGTGTATGCCTCAGTGGGACAGAATGTTCCATAGCCATTAAAAATTATATTCATATAGAATTTAAGGAGAAAAATACGTATGTAGTTATATATGGCCTGCATATTTTATAACAATGAAAAGAAAAGTATATGAAATTTTGTGGATGCAGAGTAGTCCTAGATATGTTAAACAACAGTGGTAAAAAACACACTAAAATATGAACAGAAGTAGTATTGGGGGTAAAAATATTTGAAATCTTTATGTTTTTAGGTATTTTTCATATGTTTTTTTAAATGTGGTCCTGTATTCTTTTTATGATAAAAAAAAGTCCTAAGATTAGCCATTGATATGACTAAGGAGGATCAGGGGTTTAGCTTAGCAGCACAAGCACCTGCTTGGCAAGCACAAGGTCATGAGTTTGATCTCTGGTACCAAAACAAAACCAACTCTATGATATGACCCAGGAAAGGCTGACATAATTGCATAAGTTTATATAACATATGGATTTTGGTGGGAGCTGAGAGGCACAGAGGCTTTTAGGCCTTGCTGGAAAGGCACTGTGATGCAGTCTGAGCTGATTGATGCACTGCAGCCCATAAAGAGGCTTGGGGAGCATTCCTGCTTCTGCTTTGTCCAGCCAGGAAACCATCTGTGTCTCCCACCCTTCCACCCCAGCCCACTCAATAGAACCACTCATTCGTCCACTGGTCTTTCATCTCTTTGTTCTGTGAAACTTCAGCAACCATGAGGATAGCAGGTAGAATCTGTGGAAGTTCTTTGAAACTGGTGCAAATTGAAAATGAAACTCCCTTTCCCTTTCTTCTTTGCTTAGTTTTTCTCTGTAACACTTACTGTCTAATACAGTATACATTATGCTTTTTAAAAATTTGCCTGTTCTCTCTCTCCAGTTCTGTGTAGCCAGGCACGTTTAGCTGTTGTGTTTACTGATACCTCTCTCATGCACAGGAATATCTATAAGGTGCTTAGTTAAGATTTGTCTTGATGAGTTTATGTATAGCCACACATTGCAGTTTAGCCAGGTGTGTAAAAGTCTGTGCCATCATCAGTCTTCTGAGCTATGAGGGCTGAAATTCTGGTTCTCCTTTTAAAAAAAAAGTTTATTTCTTAGCATTTTATACAGATATTTTGTGCTTACCACATATTACAGTTTCAGTGTGTGTTTATAAAACTTGGTTATTTATTAGTCCTTCATGGGAGCTTACTTTGAGTTCTGGCCTCAGTCAGAATAAGGCTCCTCATTTTGGCATCCACAGTCCAGCTGCATCAGAATCACTTGCAGGCTTGTAAATTAATGGTGCAGGTTTAATATCCTGTTGATCCTCTGGTTGAGGATGTGTGTATGTGCATATGAGAAAAAGAGGGAGGTGAGAGAGAGAGAGAGAGAGAGAGAGAGAGAGAGAGAGGCAGAGAGAAAGAGAATGAGTGAAGATGTATTTGAGAAGGTATAGCTTGGAAATTTACATGTTCAGTAAGCTCCCCAGGTGATTCTAGTTGTCACCAAAGCTAGTCTAATCATTGTCCCAGGCCCTGGGATGCAGAGTTAATTAAGAGCTCTTCTGATCTGGGCCAGGTTGATTGTCTGGATGTGTATGCATGTGGTTGTGTATGGTGTATCATCTGGTTGTATCCATTTTATTACGTTTCTGCATAATTGTCATGCATTTCCTGAGAGAGTCATAGGCTGAATGGTAGAATTTAATTTCTTTACAATCACTGTTTATGGTTAAAAGTAGTGCAGTGGTTAGTATTAAAATATTCATTGTTGTTTGAATTTACTTTTGCTACTCTATATATTCATGCTTAGTCTTTAGGACGACTTCAGTGAGAACTTTGACATTAGTTTTTTCTTTACTGATGAGAAAACTGTCTCAGAGAGACAAAATAATGCAGCCTATGTTAGACTTTTTTTTTTTTTTTTTGTCTTTTTCGTTTTTATCGGTACCAGAGATCGAACTCATGACTGCCTGCTTGCAAGTAGGTTAGACTTTTTTATTTGTTTGTTTGTTTGTCTTTGAGACAGGATTTCATTATGCAGTTTAGACTGGCATTGCACTCACTGTGTAGCCCAGGCTGGCCTTGAACTCACAGTGATCCTCTTACCTCAGCTTCCTGAATGCTGGAATTACAGGTGTCCACCACCATGCCCAGCAAGATTAGACTTCTTGCAGGTATTAAATTTAGATGATTGACCCAAGTCTCCTAGACTCCACCTTATTCAGTTGGTCTTATGTATCTGTGTATTCTTCATCTGTGTATTCAATGACTGCATATTAAAATTAATAAAATAAAATGAAAATAAGGGCTGGGAATAAGGCTAGAGTATATACTTACCTTGTGCAAGGCTTTTGGTTTTATCCTTGCACCAAAATAACTACTGTACTGTGCTGTACTGTTTTGTTGTACTGAACATGTACAAGCTTTGTTTTGTAAACAGTTTTGTAAACAATTCCCTAAACAATCCAGTATAATCACTGTTTACTTAGCATTTTTATTTTCTTAGGTAATATAGTAATCTAGAGATGGTTTAAAGTGTATAGGAGAATGTGCATGTAGGTTGTATGCAAATACTATACAATTTATGCAACGGATTGAGCATCCTAATACTTTGGTGTCCCCCTGGCCTTGTGTGTGTCCTGGAACTAATCCTCTGTGGGTACTGAGGGGCAACTATACATTATTCTTTCTCTGTTCTCATTTAGTGATTAAATTGGTTTTGAGGCTGTCTTCTCAAAAATGTACTTTTTGCCCCAGTGTGGAATTTTTTCTTGCTCTAAATCTTGACCTTATCTTTGAAATGTCCTTGGTTAAAGTTGTTACTACCTTCATGTAGGAAAGGCTGTATCATCATCCCATTTGGTAAGAAAGTTTACCTGGAGAGGAAAAATTCAACAGCCATTTAAAAATAGCTGTTGTGAGGTTTGAAAAGGTAAATAAGTCACCTGTCTTGCTTAGCTCTAACAAGTAGTCCAATTCTGTAATACAGTTTAAATCTGATTCCCTGCAGCCCTATCTCAGTCACAAACATTTCTCACAGTTGGCTGTTGTAGCCTCCAACTTGACTTCCTCATCTTCCAGGGTATTTGAGAAAATTTTGCGGAATGATTGATTCCCTTACCTCACTTTCTAATTGACTTTTCAGACAGACAGGTTTACATACATACATGTGCCTCCAACTCTTAGGAAAAAGACCTACATACATCTTTAGTACAGAATGTGGAAATGTGATGTACTTTCCCTGCTCTGTGTTCCAGCTACCCTGGGATGTTGTTATTCTGTTCTTTCGTTTTTTTTTGTTTTTAGACAGAGTCTCACCATGTAGTCTAGGTTGACCTCGAACTGGTGGTGATTCTCCTGCCTCAACCTCTCAAATGCTGGAATAATAGGCGTTGGACACCTCACCCTGTTGTTTTGTGTGTTTTTGTTTGTTTAGGTTTTGACACAATGTCTCATCACATAGTTCAGCCGACCTTGAACTCCAGTATATAGTCCAGGCTGGCCTGGAACTTGTGGCAGTCCTCCTGCTTTGCTTCCTGAGTGTTGGGATTATCAGTGTGTGGCACCATACCCAGTTTGTTTTGTGTTTTTAAAGCTTTTTATTGCTTATTTCAGGGGAATCTTTCAGATCCCTGATATCATTCTCTCAAATTTGGACATCTGGACCTATGATTCTTTTTTTTTTGGTACCGGGCATCAAACTCATGACCTTGCTCTTGCCAGGCAAGTGCTTATGCCACTGAGCTAAATCCTCAGCTGGACCTATGATTCTTGCTCTAACCATGGATTGGCAGATGTTTTCTTTTAAGCCAGTTTTCCAGCTTGACCAGTGGGCCATACTTTGCTGATCTGTGTTCTTTACAATTTTCTGTAACTGTTTGAAATCACACATTTGTATGAACTGGTTACATCTGTGTGTTCAACTGGATGGCAAATCAGAATGGAGCGTGTTTTGTTCACATTTATGTTCATGATGCCTGATGCATGGAAAGAGCTCAGTAAATGTTTCTTGGATCATCATTTAATCCATAGTTAGTTACCAAATATGTATTTAGTACTGTCAGGCTCTGTGCTGGAAAATGGGGCTTCCCAAACATCTGTGACACATTTCTTTGTCTCGGTAGATTTCCAACTAACGGGAAGACAGTACAGTAAAGTATTGACTACAGGTGGCGCACCAAGGGCTATGTTTAGCAGGCTGTTGACATTCCCTGTGCAGGCTGTCAAGAGGGCACCTGGTCACTCAAGGTCTGTTTTGGAACTATGTCCCTTCTCTCTGAAGCCAGCCTCCCTGAGCCTGAGGAATAGGTGCACCTTGCCAGTTATAAGGATTAGGATGCCATGTGTAGAAGTTCCAAGCATGTAGGAACGGTAGGCTTATACCAGTGGTGGCAAAAGTATGGCACATGTGTTACTGTGATTTTAAATAGAAAGCCCTTCCTGGGCCTTGTAGTGGCGTGGGTAGTTTGTATTTGCAATCCCATAGAAAGTTACTGGAATTCTAGTGAGTTAATTCCAGTCTGCCACTTCCAGTGTAACCCATGGTGAGAATAAAGAC